CGTCGACGTCTTCTCCGACCCTCCCAGAGAAGCTTCGTGGTACTACCGTATTTACTCGATTCTACCGCGCCCTCGATTGTAACGCGCACCCGATTTCCACTGCGAAAAAAAAAAAAAACGTAAGACATCGATTGCAACGCGCACCCATTTTTCTCGCTGGCCCGCACGATCACACCACTCGAAAAAACTACTCCTTTCGGGAGCGTCTTCCATTTAAATATGAGGTACGGGCGAAGCTTGTGCCCATCTGACGTGTAACAGAGCATTGCCATCACTGTAGTTTTACCGTGGACCGATGTCAGCACGGGAACTTGCTTCGCCCCCTTCTTGACAGTTGTGGTGCCAGGCATGTCGAAGTAAAGAGGCGTCTGATCGGCATTCCCAATTTGCCCAAGCAGGTAGCCGTTGTTGCGCCGCAAGTTTAGGACGAACCTCTGAAAACTGTGAAGCTTTTCATCGTACTTCTCCGCAAAACTTTTCGCATATGCATGTTCCCCTTCGGAGACAAAAGCCTTTCCTCTTCATAAAGTTAGTTAGCCAGCACCTGCTCGCTTTAAACTGGCTCCGCATTAGACCTTTTTCTAAGACTAATTGCATAGCCCACACTTGGAGCAGTTCTGTCGTCACGGGCCGCTGTGCCGCTCGCTGCTCAAGCACATACTCGCCGAGCAACTCTTTAATTTGTGGAAACCGACCCTGCTGTGGTCCAGTGAAGCCTTTGCGTGAAGCTTTGCTGTCGAAAATCTTCTGCTTTTGTTTCCGCCGGTCCCGCACGCACGTTTCGGGAACTCCGAACGACCGAGATGCGGCCCGATTTCCGTCCGTTTCTGCACACGCGATGACTTTTCTTTTAAAAGAGGCATCGTGGTGCACTCGGGTTTTTGGAGTCGGCCCTTCCACGCCGTCGATGCCAAGGCACTACTAGATGACGAACTCCTCAGCACACGTACGAAGTGCCGCACATGGGAAACACATAGGCAGAAATGGCCGACGCGCCAATGCGACGCACGTAGGGGGCGGCCATTTTGGATTTGCCGATGGCAATAGATTGACCGTAATTTTTTTTTTGTACTCGATTCTAACGCGCATGCGATTTATGAACTCGCTTAACCGGAAAAAAGGTGCGCGTTAGATTCGAGTAATTACGGTATGTGTCGGGGCCACGTAGCGCCAGACGAAGAGTGCGTGGTGTCGCCGTCAGCAATCGGATCCATAGAGAGCGGTGGTAGACCAGACAGTCGGCGGCTTCGGCGTAGTTCTTGAGGTAGCGCTTCCGGGATCGTTCGCCAGGGATCGCTCCGCTGTACCCCGCACCTTTCACCAATCTTGTTACGGTGAGATGCCTTTATTCACAGGAGATGATGAATGCGAGAGTCCAGGGATCTGGCCGATCACCGCTCGTGCCAACCTCGTTCTCTTCTACCACGCGTCCCCTCAGTATCGTAGCAATATATATATATATATATATATATATATATATATATATATATATATATATATATATATATATATATATATATATATATATGAGAAAGGGGTGTATACATATATATATATATATATGAGAAAGGGGTGTATACCTAAGGGCTCCTTTTTCGGTATTTTGACACAATATTATGAGATCAAACCGACAATGCCAAGGAATGTATAGGGAAAGTTATTAGAAACAATGTAATGTAAATAAGTATAAAGAAAAGTGGGTGAAAAATAACTTGCAGTGAGAAGGAAACGAACCTACGACCTTCAAATAACGCGTTCGATGCTCACGGCCTTTTTTACGCCTTCACCGCATTTATTCTACCGCTGCGTCAGCCACATGCCCTCAGAGCTTGTAGATCACTATTGTATTAATGCGACCACGGTACTGTGCCTGGCGGTTGCGGCAAATGGTAGTTTTGTTTTCAATCCACGTACCTTAACTAAATCGTTTTATGCTATTTATGATCGCAACTGCCGCGGCTTTGTCCACACAGTTTGCCGAAAGCAACGCTGCTTTGACTGCTCGAGCGTTGGCCACGCACGCACTTTCACAGTTCTGTCAGTAATGTCATCGCCATGCATGATCGTGTCGAAGACCGCAGTTTTGTCCACAGCGGTTGTGGCAACAGCAACCACACGTACTGTAGAAGACAGTGCGTGCGCTGGCCGCACGCGCATTTCGGAAGCTTCGAGCACGCTGCTCTTGATCGGCCTTCAATCCCAGATTTCGGTACTAAAGTTCTTATCACACACTAAATTAGGAAAACTGCTCAGAACATTTGAATTTTGGCCCAATGGACACGTTGATTTGGCTGGGAATTTCACGAATTCGTATCTGCCGTGGTTTTGCATCACCGAGACTGCTGTATGTTACGCTTAGATGAACGCCCCTCAAATTCGTTTATAATAAAATGCAGTGGGCTCGCAAAAAGCCTGAAATGAACTGGCCTACATTTTTGTCAATGCAGGCCACATATCGAACACAAATTTCGATTTCCGAAAAATTTTCATGGCAATCGTATAAACAGAAGAAACTGTCTAAATCCGGGAGTCTCCCAGGCAATGCGGGAGACCTTGCAGGTATGTGATGATAGCACCAATACATATTGTTCTCTCCTGATGGCGAGAAATAGCACAACACCATTTTTGTGGCCTCCACAACTAGCTACAGTAATGTGCCATAGCCAATCGCGAAGGTCATGCTATTTTACCATTAATTTTTTATTTTTTATCCAAAATGAAATATGTTTTTGTAAAATTTCACGTAAAATACGTAAAATCTAGGCTTGTGCGAATAGCGAATTTTAGGTTCGAAGAGAATTCGAAGCGAATAGTGATTTTGATCGAATAATTTCTAATAGAATTCGAATGGTGTGTGTGACATAAGAAAATAGAATATTTATCATGACCCAACTAACCTGTACAATATTTCTTTTGAATTAAAACAGAAGCTCTATGCAAATACAATTTTTTTTTTTTTTCATTTAAAGGAAGTCAGAACAACCTTGAGTAGTAGCTCCGGTAGGATGCGAGTGATAACCTGTAGGATACTTAATATTTTAAAATTTATTATACTTCGATCATATAAGCTGTCATAACAAGCTTAATAAAATGAAGAATTGATTTGAAGGTAACATGTTCCTTTAAAGGGGCCCTGCAACACTTTTTCAAGTAGCCATGGAGCCAGTAAACATGCTTATTGCCTCACAAATTTACCACTGCAATGTTTCTAGAATCAGTCCAGTACGAGCGGAATTCCAAAAATTTGTCGCATGCTGCAATTGCATTCTCTCTTCTCGTCCCGATCAAATAGCTGGAAGCTAAGCAGGAAGGAATGGCACGATGAAAGAAAATACTCCACACGCACCTCGAAACCTTGAGCACCTCTTTTCTTTTCTTCAAATACGTGGCTTCAGTGCAATCGCGCACGTACTCATGGACAAGCGGCGGCCTCGGTAACGACAAGCGTGCCATGCTCAAATCAGCCAATTCCTGTGACCAGAACTGTATATTCCTTCTTGGCTGTGACAGGGATTTTTGAGCTTGTAGTGTCATTTGCCGAGGAAAGAAAGCAATTTTTAGCTTTCAAAATTTACTTGTGAATTACAGGCCACGTGCTGCGTTAAAATATTTGCCTTGCGTGTTTTCGGTAGCCTCGACTACCAATCGGCAGCGTTTTCCGACCATGTTCATTAAATGTGGCAGGTCCCCTTTAAGAGGGCCGACTGCTCTTTGGGGCCAAAAAGTGACAAAAAAATTCATTTTTTAAAATTGACATATTTGGTTTCTGCAAGTACTTTTTTATCTCTCTGCAAATTTTCACGCACCAGGAAGTAATAATTTTTATGTAATGTCATTTTAACTGTCCAGATTCTTGGTGCTGTTAACATGCAGAACCTGCAAAAAAATGGGGAACCGACTTTGAGGCTTCTTTATAATTTGCCAGCACCTTTGTCTGAAGCTCTACTATCAATTTATGAGCACCTTAATGAGGATTGCAAAACATGCGCACCATGTTTTTTGCTTTTTGAAGAAACTGTGTGTTTTCAGTTTTTTCCATTTTTCTCAAAAAAGTAAATTTGTGACTATTCAATTTTGAGGCCTCAATATCTCTGTAGCTAGGGCAGGTACAACAATAATTCTCTTTGCAGTGGAAACCTGTAAGTGTGTAGAATGCAAGTATGGGAGCAGAATTTAGAGCACATGCCTTTTTAATTAATTACTAATCAAAATTGTAACACAATTCCAACTGCTTTTAAAAATATATAGTTCATTTTGCTGCAAAATAACCAATAAAGGCCTAAAAACAAAAACCTCTTCCATACTTTCACTCTATAGTCATTAGTCTATGTTGGCATATCCTAAATATCACTTAAGCACTTTTTTTTCTATGGTAGCCTTAAACAATAGGGGGTGAACTTAGGTTATCTCCGAAACAAAGTGAGTTATAGGAAAACTAATTCAATATTTGAAATCAGCAGAAAAAACTGCATAACTCTGTCAGTTTTATCAAGATCACTGAAGAAATAAACAAAAAATGTCTAAGACCAGTCTGCCCCCTTAAATTTGAAGGGGGCTTCACAACAAAGCGAAATTTTTAGGTGTTTTCACTAGTTAGCACCGCTGCATTGCAGTGAAGCCACCTTTACAGGCAGACTAGTATACACTTTTTTGTTTATTGCGAATACTTCGAAAATATTAGATAATCTAAATTCGAATCTAAGGGAATTCGAATACTCAACTATTCGCACAAGCCTAGTAAAATCATAAGCGCTGTCGAAATTCCTACATTTTACGAGAAAATTGGAAGAGTTGGCAAGTATGGGTTTAGGACTAGGGTGCAACAATTTTATGATGTAATTAAAGACATTTGAAAAAATAATAAAGATACTGCAAGAAACTTGAAAGATACCCAAAACAAACGGGTCCCCTGTTTTTCAAGCAAATGCCCCTAGTATACGACCCCCCCAGTATGAACATATAACCAGAAATAATCCAGTGCCAGAAACAACCACACCCACCTTTTGGTGCTTGGCACCCCGAATGTGAGCAGCATAGGCGTCTGATCCTGTGCACGTCACATCGCAGAGCTCGCAACGCAGGGCCGTACCTCCTCGCGGCAGTGGTGGTGTTCCGGATGTTCCATTGCTCTTCAGGGCAGCCTCTTTCTTCTTGTGCTTCTGGCCTTCCAAGTGTTCCTTGTACGTCTGTGGGCCGGCACAAGATATCTTGCACACGTCACAGTAGTGCAACTGCGGAGGTTTTGGTGGCGGCTTGGGCTTGTTGATTTTGTTCTGGAAGGGACCGGGGCGCTTGAAGGGCCCAGGGCCACCAGAGCCCATGGCACCACCACCACCGCCACTGGCGGCCCCACCCCCAGCGCCGACGCTGCCACTGCTCCACGACATCTTGGCTCCACCCCCACCCCCACTGCTATTCTGGTTCCCGTGGTACCCAGAGTTTTGCACACCTCCATAGGAACTCGAGTAGCCTGAGTACACATACGAGGCAGCAGACGTGCCACCGCCGCCCCCACTGCCTTGCTGCTGCTGTTGCTGCTGTGACTGGGCCGCGTTGCTCTTGGGCCCCGAAGGAGGAGCCCTGTAGGCCGAGGCAAAGCTGCTCTTGGCTGTTGGTTGGGCCGCGTAGCTAGAGCTCACGCTCTCGGCTGCACCGGTGCTGGCAGCCGCATTGCCGTACGCCGTGCTCACTTGGCCCTGGCCGTAGTAGCCCCCCTGGCTGCTCTTTTCATAGGATGCCTGCAAGAGGTCACGCATAAGGTGAAAAACATGGTAGCACACTTATGTTTAGTACACAAGATATACACCACAAACATGGTAACCCGTGGCTACGTTACATCAGATATACATTCTTGTTCTGCTCAGCTCTAATAACATCTGCAAACTGGGAATGTAGTACATGGTTGCAGCATGCCACATCCCACACCCGATTCTGTGCCTACATATTTAGCAGAGGACAAAGCTTAAACTGAACGCTAACACATTCAAAGGTCATGCCAGCAGCCCCAAGTTAAAAGGGGTCAGCACAGATAAAAATCGTGCCCTCTCGCCTAGCACCCCTCCCAATCTCGCAGGTGCACATGCAGCCTGAGCATGCCTAGGAGAAAGTGTGCTGCACGGAGGTGGTGCATGCGGGCAACACGACGAACAAGAAGTGCGGACAGCTGCTTGCAGACTAACCGGAAGTAGTAGATTCTTGCTCGAACAATCGCAGCATGCTTTTGCGGCATGCATCACAGATTCAACTTCTCCGTGTCACATGAAGGCTGGATAATCCCCAAGAGCAGGAGGGACTGTCTTTTAAAACTTACAGCACGCCGGCGCCTTGCAGCGCTACTACGTGCATCATTGTTGATCGTGATAGCATTCTGCACACAATGAGCACGTTTACTTGAATGTTAGAAAAAATATTGGAGGTGTTTAGGGGCCCCTAAACAGCCTCTAGTGTGATCATGTCCATGATCTATATAACCTGAAATATAATGGGCCAATTTCCACGGTGGTGCTTCTTTTACGTAGCTTTTTATTTCACATTCATTTCGTCGGCACAAGGGTATTTCGATATTATTTTCGAATACCGTATTTTCGCGCATATAACCCGCACCAAAAAGCCAAGGATTTCAGTGGCAAAGTGGAGGTGCGGATAATACACGTGGGTTTTCCTATAGTGCTGTTCACAGCAATGCGTGTTGTGCTGTGAAGCCCCTTAACAGTGTAGCAAAGGCTACGGAGGCGGTTTCCGCAAATTCGTGTTGCTTCGCAAGTAGCACAGCAGCTTGCGGCTGATTTTGGTTTTGCTTGGTTGCATCGTTGAAGCATTTAGAAAAACATTTGGGGATAGACTATTCGATTGTTCAGTGTAAAATCTCACTGTCACACCACAAGTATATTTTTTGGACGTTTGCGGCCATAGAAAACTTCGTTATATCCAGGAATTTGTTTTATGGAGGTTTGTTATAAGCAGATTTAGCTATATATATATATATATATATATATATATCAACTGAGGAAGTTTTTCTAATGGGCCAAAGGTACTTGGAAAGAGAAGTGACACAACTTAGAAGTTGCCTAAATTTTATTTCCAACTGTTTCGACCGGTGGACCGGTCTTCATCAGGGTATGCGAACCAGTCCAACAAATAAAATTACAGCAACCGCTAAGTTGTGTCTATATATATACAGACACTGACGAAAGCCAGATTCCGACGAAAACAGTCAAAACAAATGCTTCCGTTGTTACTGTTCTCACGAAGGATTTACTTGACTATTGCATACAGTCGAAACCCGCAATAACGAAACCTCGCGAGTACGAAATCCCTGCGGCAACGAAATATTTCCGGATCCCCGGCGAACGTTCGAAATGTTTTTGGACAGCGATCCTGCAATAACGAATTTTCTACCATGGTGCAGGCCTTATTTTGCCCTCCCGCCAAAGGTTACTGTAATTACTCGAATCTAACGCGCACCTTTTTTCCGGTTAAGCGAGTTCATAAATCACATTCGCGTTAGAATCAAGTACGAACAAAAAAATTACGGTCAATCTATTGCCATCGGCAAATCCAAAATGGCCGCCCCCTACGTGCGTCGGCATGGCACGTCGACCACTTCTGCCTATGTGTTTCCCATGTGCGGCACTTTGTACGTGTGCTGAGGAGTTCGTCATCTAGTAGTGCATTAGCATCGACGGCGTGGAAGGGCCGACTCCAAAAACTCGAATGCACCACGATGCCGCTTTTAAAAGAAAAGTCATCGCGTGTGCAGAAACGGACGGAAATCGGGCCGCATCACGGTCGTTCGGAGTTCCCGAAACGTACGTGCGGGACCGGCGGAAACAAAAGCAGAAGATTGTCGACAGCAAAGCTTCACGCAAAGGCTTCAGTGCACCACAGCAGGGTCGCTTTCCGCAAATTAAAGAGCTGCGCGGCGAGTATGTGCTTGAGCAGCGAGCGGCACAGCGGTCCGTGACGACAGAACTGCTCCAAGTGCGGGCTATGCAATTAGTCTTAGAAAAAGGTCTAATGCGGAGCCAGTTTAAAGCAAGCAGGTGCTGGCTAACTAACTTTATGAAGAGGAAATGCTTTTCCCTCCGAAGGAGAACATGCATATGCGCAAAGTTTTGCGGAGGAGTACGATTAAAAGCTTCACAGTTTTCAGAGGTTCGTCCTAAACTTGCGGCGGAACAACGGCTACCTGCTTGGGCAAATCGGGAATGCCGATCAGACGCCTTTTTACTTCGACATGCCTGGCACCACAACCGTCGAGAAGAAGGGGGGCGAAGCAAGTTCGCGTGCTGACATCGGTTCACGGTAAAACTACAGTGACGGCAATGCTCTGTTACACGTCAGATGGGCACAAGCTTCGCCCGTACCTCATATTTAAATGGAAGACGCTCCCGAAAGGAGTCGTTTTTTCGAGTGGTGTGATCGTGCGGGCCAGCGAGAAAAATGGGTGCGCGTTGCAATCGATGTCTTACGTTTTTTTTTTTTTCGCGGTGGAAATCGGGTGCGCGCTACAATCGAGGACGCGTTAGAATCGAGTAAATACGGTTACTGTCGAATAAAATATGCTCGTATGCGTGTTATGCGCACTGAAAATTTGTAAACGTCTGCTTTTGCCGCGCTAGCGTGGGTACCACCATTTTTGTTTACTTACTTACAACATAGTCGTGTACGAGGAAGTGACCGACGAGGCCATTATCGAAAGCGTGCGCGAAGCTGACGACACCACGGACCAAGAAGAGACGCACGCGGAGAAACCCAACCCGCGGGTTGTTTTGGATGCGCTGGACACCCTTCGCTCCTTCTTCGGCGCACATGATGACGACATAGCAATGGACCACTTTTTCCAGTGCGAAGGGAGAGCTTTGAAGTTGTTGCATGGCAAGGGTCGGCAAAGTAAGTTGACCGACTTCTGGCAATAAATTTTCGTTCTGCTGGCTGTATCACTGTTTTTATGTCTCATACTCGCGGCAACGAAATTCTCGCGACAGCGAAATTTTTCGGTTTCCCCTGCGATTTCGTTATTGCGAGTTTAGACTGTATATATATATATTATACATTGTCTAGCCAAGTAAAAACTATAAAGAAATATGAATGCACCTTTTAGTTATGTATACTTTTGCAGCCTATTCAAAAAAGTTACGAGAGCGCGTCAACATGTTTGTAGAAACCACTTTTATCCCGTGTTTGAAACTGAATTACTTTTTGGCACACTATCGTTTACCAGATAACATAAAAAATATTCAAATCATGTTTTTCATGCACTTTCAACATATAAAAACTATGAACATCCATTGTCAAGTGTTAAAAAGAAGCATTCTGGCTCGGAAAACGCTAAGGTGCTGAAGAAACGTCACAGAAATCGAAATACATTAATTTAAAAAACAATGCATTACATTATCATAAATAGAACAACCGCTTTGTCACACATTCAGCACCATATAATGCTGCTACATGCATTTTGAACTTTTCTTTCAGCCATAAAACAAAAAGTTCATTCTGAAAAAAAAAAAAGTGAGGTGCTCTGCACGCACACTAAGATTCAATTGGCTTTTTAACTAGATAACGCCTACATACTAAACTAAATACGTGGCATGTCATCACTACGATAAATTAGATTTAAAAAAGAACACCGAGTAGATGAACTGAGTGGGTCACTGTTCTGTCAACCACCAGCTAATTTGCCAAGGCTGCTGCCCCAAGGGAGCAGCCGCCACCCACTTCCCCACAGCTAATTTGCCAAGGCTGCTGCCCCAAGGGAGCAGCCGCCACCCACTTCCCCATCCCTCCAATCCCCGCCCCGTTACGCTGCAGTCGCCGGAACTGCAACTACGGTTGACACGCACTTTCCCATGGAAAGCCGCTTGACGCAGCAGGCCGTACTGTGAGCTTATTCATCCAGCGTCGGAGCCACTATAATGAGACGGTGTGGCTTTATACAGTTTCCCTGTATTTGTACCACGTTGCGTGCACCTGTGTCGTGAATGGCTTGGCCCGTCGTCATTACTCTCTCGACACACGAGCCAAGTCAAGTGACCGAAAACATCACTGCACATCATTTCTGAGATAAAGTGTAGGTAAAAAACCAGGTCACTCCAAAATTTTCACGACCTGGAAACTGCGTGCACGGTTTCATGAGCATGTAGAAATGTTGCTGAAGACCCGCCAATGAGCCCGGGATCATTACATCATGTGAAGGCAGCACCACTTTATTGCGCACTACTAACACAGGCCTATAAGTATATTTTTTGTGGAGGAATATCTTTTACTATAAAGAAACAATATTTCAATACTAACAGAAAAATTGTTGAACCACATACACTTGTTTACGGTCACATGACAGGGCAGCTCTGATATTTGAAGTACCACCAGTTGGTCCCACGGGCTATATTAACGATTCAATGAGTAAAAATATAACTCCACTTCTCACAAGAAAAATAGGGTTGGTTTGAGTCACTATGAGGGACAATCCATCTGTGCAATCATCTCATTTCATGTTCTGGGCAGTTGTCGGTCTCTTTAAGGCCTCATTTGACGCTAAGTTGCGCTCTGTATTAGAGCTTACCTAAATTTCCTAAATGGTAACATCACTCCGAAGATCTAATCTGCCTTCACTGGTACATTTAGTTGTGTTTTGCAGTTCGACACATGCCGTACTATTACAGCACCAGGGCTGGTCAGATGCTCATGTGCAAAAGAGGGCGCTTTCAGCGGTTGCTCCTGTCCCTAATCAAGCTTTTGCCGACGCTTCATGGCCAGTAAAAGTATTGATGGACTCCGGTTACGCCTCCCCATTAATCAAAACTAAAGCACATCAGAGCAAAAGGAATAATGACATTCTACTACAAGTTTCGTTGACTACTAGAAGGTAATTTGGCAATGTTTTCCGCATGCACTGACCGCACAGCAGTAAAGACAGAATGGAGAAGCACATGCAAGATTAAACCCCCTTCAGCTGTCCCTAAAGTACAGCTATGGCTCTCATCAAAATTTGGATGTGAGGGAGCACTAAAAAAGCACCAAGTAACAAAGAAATAAGCCCAAGCTTTATGGGAGCATGCACCAACCTGCTGCCTTGGGGCATAGTGAAAGGCAGCGGCGGCTGCATTTGCAGCTGCTGCTGCAGCCGCGTTGTGGGTGTCATAGGCACTGTACGTTGGAGCTGCACGAGCACCAAACTGCTGGGGAGTGGCTGCAGCAGCAGCAGCATGCTGCATGGTGTAGCCCGTCTGGCTGGCGGCGGCTGGGTAGGTGCCGGCAGCACTGCAAGACAGCACCGCAGGTCACTCACAAACAGGCTACTAGAACACATGCAAACTGTTCACAAAAAGCAAATTCCCCTGCAAACTGGTCCCCCAAAAAAATTATGTATCATCGCTACCTTCATTTTAAGCACTACTATAATGGCGAGGGGCGTTCTTGCAACACAACCGCATTGTGAAAACATTTCACCTCGAACAGGAATATGCAAGGCAAATGTGCAAGACAAGTGAAGCTACTGGCACGCGAGAATTTAATGGTGCCCCAATAAATCTAGTCTTGACACCCATCCTAATGTTTACCCAAGTCTGGGACTTCGTACTTATCAGTCGCAGGGAAACAGCTGCTTAGTCAAAAGCAGCAGGTCTAGAACAAGTTAAGTGTCCCATACGTGTTAGCAGCATCGAATAAATGAGCTGCCATACACACACTCGTACCGTTTGAAGGCACTGTTGGTTAAACAAAACGAGCGACTGGAGTTTGAAAGCGTCGGTACATAAAAGCACTGGCAACATTACAGGGGTGAGACGGCCGAGACTTAAAATTGGGAGCAGCTTCTGACGCAGAAAAATTTCAATTTTGGAGCAGAAAAAGAACCCTGCTTCGGAGGAGTTAGTGGCATTTAATATGTCGTCCTGGGAGCTTGAAAATACAAATTTTTAGCAACGTGAGGGCACCAATGAACATTTTCGTTGGTTTATAATGCACATAACACCGAAACAAATTTTAGAACAGATTATCGCCAGGTATGAACTGCACAACCTTTTTACATACCACGTGAATTATCTAACCCTCGTAACACGTGAAAAAATATTTAAAAAAGGTTTTGTATAAAACTAGGTTCTTCGGAAACAAAAAATGCATCAAACTCAAAAAAACATTCAAAAATTGTGATTGCACAAGAATCTTAATTATGTAACAATGGTCCTTTGCTTGAAGAAAAGCCTGACATGATAAAGAGCTTTTAACAGACAACAAAAGCGCACTGCAACACCGTTTGCTGCCACCTCGTGCGGGACCAGGAAACCTCACCGCACGGATTATTTCGTAAAGCACTAAGTGTTATATGCAACTAAGTGAAACAAATGATAACGCCTTTCAACGCAAACAACCACGCGTTATCAATACGGCAAATGTTGGCCAGTTCTACATTTTTTAATATCTATAGGACATCACTATCAATGTAGAACTCCAGATAATGCATTGACTGGTGATTGCAGCCCGCACCGCTCCACAACCCGTGTAAAGCACTCGCGAAGCGCAGGTAAGAAAATTCGTGCCCACGCGAACGATCCGCTTAACGTAAAAAGGTAGGCTTTATAGCAAAAACAAAAAGAAGAAAAAGAAAACGAAGTCGCACTGCCACCAACGGAAACACCGATTGAGTTAAGACTAAAAGCTCGTCTAGCCCAGGCCCGGCACGCATGCAGCTACACCTCCTACAGCGCTCATCGCGAGTTTCAATTACAAAACTGAGCAGTGGCAAATCACCATTCATGAAAACTGGGCCATGTGATCGCCCACGTATAATGAGTCACAAATAAAGCACCGAGGTGCCCGTTACCATCGTTTACAATGGTTGACATGAAACCGCAGCAATTGGAGTAACACACTACGCACAACAAAAAAACCCTGAAAGTCGGCGCCTCTACGCTCGGCACTCGACTCATTTTTGCTAGCCGACAGTGGCACCAGAACACACAGCCTAGCCAGTAGAAGCAGCACGCTTGATGCACGGCAGCACATTTTTGTGGGGTCATGCATATTTGTAACCGTTTAAAAAAGATTATGGCAGCACCATAGGAGCCTTCATCACCATAAAGGTGCAAGGTGAAAAAAGATACGATTGGGTGCATCAATCGATAGATACAATCGATACGATAGAGCATAATAATTTTCATCGACTGCAGCGACGCTGCCTGCCAGCACCTAACCAACGGTATTGTAATGACTTTTAAAAAATGTTTTAAACCGCTTTTATTGACTCATGAGATGCTAGTTGACAACAGCTTACGCTTTTTAGATTTGAATTTAATTCTTTTACCTGACCATGTGTGCTGGCTATTTGAACCTAGAACTGGAAAACCTCTTTTACCCTATGACTCTTCCCATTCCAAGTTAGTTAAGCAAAGCATCACAAATCTTTGTCTCATCAATCCTCTTAGGAAATCATGTCATCATGTCATGCAGCGCAGTTTTGCAGCTCAAGCTGAAAGGCTTTTGAGTGCTGGGTACCCAGCTATCCTACTGGCATCTATAGCTGAAAAGCTATTAAAATAGATAAAGAAAGGCTGCAACTCCGAGGCTCAGCCGGAATCTAACGACCGAAAAAGACCCGTAGTTTTACCCTACGTGCATGACATTTCCCACCGGCTAAAAAAGATGGGGGAGAAATGCAGCGTCAAAGTGGTGTTTTCAGCGCCGGATAAGTTACAGCGACTTTGCAAAGCAGTCAATCCTCTCAAATCACGCACCACTGGTTGCTCAACCAAGCACAAAACTCGGTTTGTGCCGTGTGTAGCGGGGGTTGTTTACGCGATTCCACTCTCATGTGGTAAGTGGTATTTCCGCCAAACGGGGCGCTGCCTTAATGAAAGGTTAAGAGAGCACCATCATAATGTTCACAAAGCAATCCAGGGCCACATTGAAATTCACTGCCGCGATTGTGGATGTTCCCCCATGTTTGATCAATGTGAAGTGGTTAAAAAGCACCCGTCACAATTAACTCGGGAAATTATACAAGCGCACTGTATAGCAAGAGCTAGTATGACGTGTATTAGCGCCCCTTCTTTAGTTTTATCTGAACATGAAGTGGCCTTTCTTAATCAGGATAAACACCTATGAATCTGTGATGTGACGGTGCGATGTTGTGTGTAATCTTGTTGCGTTAGGGTGGTTTTGTATGCTTGCGCCGGTCTACATATTTGATGCAGTTTGACAATAAAGCTCAGTTGAAAGTTAGCGCTCTGTCCTCTTGTGTCAGTCTGCCCGGCCGTTTCTTCTTCCCCGTAATGCGCTACACCAGTTCAAGTATGACGAACAAACTCGCCCAATCTTCAACACTCGTGGTCTGCCAGTTCTATTTTGTCTGTTGTACTTGAGACTTTCATGATTTGACGCTTCTTAATAAGATTCTTCGTTTCCTGGGAAAGCTTGCCAGTGTCCTGTCTAACTACCCTGCCTCCAACTTCCAATGCACACTCCGTAATGATACTCGTCAAATTATCATTCATTGTATCTATTCTAAGGTTGGTTTCCTCACTAAGAGCCGAGTACCTGTTCTGAAGCGAGACTCTGAATTCCTGTACTTTCCCTCTCAGTGCTAGCTCATTGATTGGCTCCTTGCGTATCAGTTTCTGTCGTTCCTTCCTCAAGTCTAGGCGAATTCGAGACCGTACCATTCTATGATCACTGCATCGTACCTTGCCAACTACTTCTACATCCTGCACGATGCCTGGGTGTGCACTCATTATAAAGTCTATTTCGTTCTTATTTTCGCCATTAGGGCCCCTCCATGTCCACTTGCGGTTTCCTCGTTTTCGGTAGAAGGTATTCAAAATCCGTAAATTATTGCGTTCTGCGAATTCTAATAGTAGCTCTCCTCTGGCGTTTCTAGTACCGATGCCATAATCTCCTACTGCCTGGTCTCGAGCCTGCTTCTTCCCTACCTTTGCGTTAAAGTCTCTCATCAGTATTGTATACTGTGTTTTTACCTTACTCATTGCCGATTCCACGTCTTCATGGAAGCTTTCAACTGAAGCGTCAATATGGCAGGATGTAGGCGCGTAAGCCTGTACCACCTTCATCTTGTATCTCTTACTCAGTTTAATAACGATACCTACCACCCATTCATTAATGCTATAGTATTCCTCTATGTTGCCAGCTATGTTTCTGTGAATTAGGAATCCCACTCCCAGTTCTCTTCTGTCAGCCAAGCCCCAATAGCAAAAAAACGTGCCCATTCTGTAGCACCGTATAGGCCTCATCTGTCCTAACCTCACTGAGCCCTATTATATCCCATTTAACACCCTCTACCTCCTCGAATAGTACAGCTAGACTGCCCTCACTAGATAAGATTCTAGCGTTAAACGTTGCCAAGTTCAGGTTCCAATGGCGGCCTGTCCGGATCCAGAGATTCTTAGCACCCTCTGCTGCGTTGCAGATCTGACCGCCGCCATGGTCAGTTGCTTCGCACCTGCTGGGGACTGAGGAATGCGAGTTAATTGACGTATGCATGTGGCAGGTAGTGGCCAGATACTGCACCAGGGTGCAGATACTGCACCAGGGTGGCTAATCCTTCTCTGGTGAGGGAGTGCGTTCCCAGCGGTGGTTGCCGGTGAGGCCACACCCCAGGCCTCGTAATACAGTTCCATCACCATGCGGATTTTTTTTTTTTATCCGGTTGGGAACTGCACGGCACCGGGATTTGAACCACGGACCTTTTGCATGCGAGGCGGATGCTCTAACCACTACGCCATCGCTGCTGTTTTAGCCTCGGTCACCTCTCTGGGGTGACCAAGGCTAAAACACTAGCTCAGGTCACGCGGCTCTCCTCCCCGAAAGCTGCACAGCGTCTCCTACAGTTGCTGGGATATCATCATATGGCAGGGGAGGAACAGAAGGTCGTATCACAAACAATGAAGGGCACCTACGAGGTGGCACCCTTCCCGCGTAACGTTCATCCACAGTACAATGTTGGTCGGTGAAAGGCACGAGCCAATTCTCTCCGATTACGTGGCTAGGTCCACAGGCACTGTAGCTTTCGCACTGTAGCTGTGGTGGTTGATCATCGCGGTCACGTACTTAACTAGGCTTCCGTGAGGAAAGCGTCCAGAGATATTTACGGACTCCAGGGCTGCCACCTGGGTAGTAAGATGGTAAGTTGGGCCAGTTGGTTAAAACTGCAATCTCCAGGAAGGCTGCCACTATTTTAAATCCCAGGGGTGTAGTAGGCTACCCCACAATCGCCAGGTTTCCAGCCCACAAGGTCTCAGAGGTGCATCCAACTCTTCCCAACGCCAACGAACTTGCCCATAACCATGCGCGAGCCGCCGCCCGATCTAAAGGGTACAACCACATCCATCCATCTTTCCTTCACAGCGCCGCCTGCTTTCTATGGCCGATAAACTAATGCCAATCTAACAGTGGGCTCAAAAATGCAATAAGCGTGCGACAATTTCAAAAAGCCAGAGAAAGGCATTAACCCACACCGCCCATGCGCTCAAAAAAGCGGGCCACAGATGAAAAATTCAGTACGTGAGGCATCCACGAAAATAAAACGTTATGCGCAAGCAAACCAAACAGTAATAACGCACTGCTCTGCATGATTCGCAAATATGCCCTGTAAACCGGTGCGCATACATCGGACCTAGTGATCCCTCGCAGATCTAAATTTCATCTTAGTGCCTTCGCCCTGGGGAACATTGATGCAGAACCTAAAAACAAATGAGATTAGCGAGGTAATAAACGCAGGCCCTTACCGCTTTCCTTCGCTTTAACCGCCGCGCATTTTATGAAGACCAAGCGCTGTTATGCGCCGAGGAAACGCCAAGTCGCAAAGGCGTCTCGGTGTAAAAATCGTCAAATTACCAATGCACTAAACAAAGTGCTAATAAACATGCTAAACAAAGGCCGCTCGGTGGCTCATAACGCCCGAGTGCCTATGAACGTGTTTTTTCAGAGCGATGAAAAAATAGCTGCATTCTGAACGGCCGCGCAGCGAGCTCACAATGCAAAGCGCGAAAAGAAAAGCACCTCGTGCGGATATTTATCAGTACGCGCAGCCCGGCAATTATATCGCTTTCTCGTGCTATAAACTCGGCACCACAGAATGAATAAACCTCGCCGCTAAGCGCAGTTTAGCCAGAAGTAGGCTTAGCCAAGTGGCGCGTACTGTTCGGTCAACGTCGCATGCGAAAAGGTTGCGGTAAGAAACCACTATAGTAAAATTTTCAGAGTACATACGGTCTTCGACAGAGCTGCGATAAAGGTGCCAGGCAATCATTTTAACCTGGAACCAAAAGTTCGGAACACAATGTGCCAAAGCGACGCCATCTTTAGAAACGCACTACATGCATGCCGGCAAGTAGGTTTTTCTCTGCCATTTTATCACTGCGACAAGCCAGTACTATTCCCGAACGCTTCCGTGTTAAATAAGGCACAGTTATGTGAAAGACTTTGTAGAAATCCAGCGCTGCTTACCCATACTGTGTATTTCCTGCGGCGAACCCGAAGTAGTTGTTCGCTGCCATTGCGGACACAACCGAAGCGAAGAATCGACAGATTCTGCTGCGCATTGACCAAACTTCAGATGTTGCTATCACAGCCGCACAGCGCCGCCACCGAACGGTACCAATAAATGTAACTTATTGTAAACAAATGTAGCTACGCTAGGCAATGTATTATAAAGTGTTATTTTAGGCTATCCAATAAAACATCATCAACTGTTACTTATAACTACATGCGTGTTTTTTTTTGTTTTTAATTAGGCTGCACTACTCGCAGGAGTGGCAGCCGCTCGAAGATATTAAACGAAATAAATGAACTTTGGCAACTTTTTTCAGTGAGCGCTGCAAACGCTTTATTAAGCGTCCACATATTAAAAAAAAAAAAACATCACGAGTCTTTTATTTACGGTAAAGTTCAAATCTTGAATGCTACGCTCGTTTTCATCACCACCATAGAGTTTCATACTATAATTATTGTATGAAATTCTATGATAACCACTAAACAACTAAAATCTAACTACACTATATAGTATAGTGGCTAAAAAGCATAAAGTTTCATGAAATGAAATTCTATGCAAGAAAGGTTTGCCCATGGATTTGCCTAGCATCGTGACTCGTACACATCTCTGCAGCATTGACCATTGAATGGATGGAGGAAGATGAAGAAAGGAGGTAGCACGACGTTGCGCAGCCTTGGCAAGCCGAGGCGTTTTGAAGCCAGCCCGTGACTTAGAAGGGTGGCAGCTTGGGCTAGTTGGTATAACATGAAGATAGTGCGCGAGAACAGAACGACGACAAAGAGACAAGAAGGACACGAGCAAATAGTATTTGTTCAATCGTTACTTGAGCCCCTAAATGTACACGTTCGTGATCTGATTCCTTTAACTGAGCAACAAAATTCTCCAGAAATTGTTTACCATATATGATATCTTCCCAACTCACGCAAAGCTATTACCTACAGGCATTTTAAATGGTTTATTGCAGGACCATTTAAGTACTCTGCCGACAAATGTCATTATAGCAACGGACGCATCTCAATCACATGAAAAATCAGGCATTGGAATATATTGCCCCGTACTTGATTGGTCATTTTCACTTCGCTTACCGGACTTTTCCTGTCTTTCTGGCTGAATTCATGGCAATAATGTTTGCTTTGTTAAAGGTAAATATTTCCATTCCAGTTGTAGCAGTCATAACTGATTCATTATCAGTGTGCTCTTCTCTGTCCGCATCTGGTCACTCACCTATAGTGAAACTTTTTAAATCGTTGATCCCCTGTCATCTCCGAAGTATTCATTTAATCTGGACACCAGGGCACAAAGGTTTGTTGTTAAACGAAATAGCTGATTCTCTTGCGAAGGCATCCCTTTCGACACCAATTATTCCTATTTTCCCCCATACAGTATACATTACGGTGGCGCGATTTCGCACACTTAAAATCAGGCAAAATTTATCTGACCCTAGCACTGACGGCTTCTCCAGAGTACAAACACTTGTTATTTCCCTGGCGCAGTGAACTGACTAAATCAAGGATGATGGAAGTTGTCATCACGAAATTTCGTTGCCGCGTTACCTCCCTCAATTTTTACTTGCATAGATCAGGCATATTGAATTCCCCTGTGTGCATTTACTGTAATCAAGAGGAAACGATCAGTCATTTTTTATTACATTGTCGCCGTTTCGATTTATTCAGGCAAAGCATACTAGCACCACCTCTTCAAAGACTGGGCTTGCAACTATCACAGCCTGATCTTCTTTCATTTGGAGCCTCTACACTGGGTTTCAGCCACAGGGATGTTTTATTCGCCGTTCAAGAATACATCATTGCGACTAAACGATTTTCTTGCTAAATTGCTGTCTCAAAATTTTTCTTATTTTTTTTTCAAACTTGATATCGGTATTTCAAATCAAAATTAAGTTACAAAAAAAATTGTAGGAATGACACAATGCTGAAAGTTTAGGGCAAATTCACCTTAAAATCGGCCAATCCCCTTCTTTGGGTACGAGCCATTTCTACAGGGAAACAACAACAACGACACGAGCGCTAGAACTTGATGAGACAGATGCTTGGGCTAGATGGTGATTGGGAATCAACATATCAACGGCTGTCGTAAAGGGATCACGAATCACGGAAGGTAATCAACGGCTGTCGCAAAGATGTTTCGTTTTGTGACGATTTTCTTGTGCTTTTATATTGCGATGATCGAGGCTTCGAAGCTGCCGTTTCAAATATATATCACGTCTTCTCGATGAGCGCATGGCACCTCTTACTCTGACGCATGAGCTTTCGCAGGATGCTTCGTTAAGGTTTTTAGATTTGAGATAAGCACCTCAAGTGTTCACCTTTGCTGGAAATATCAGCTGCAGAGGAAGCAAGCCTCTTCTACCATACTTGTCGGCTCATTCAAAGCTCGTAAAGAGAGGAATCCTTTCTAGTCATTTTTTAAGAAATACCCTCCGAAAGTCTTGCGGCCACTCGTTAATTAGCAGCTTCGTTGAGCAGGCTTCCCGTCTGATCAGCGCAGGTTTCCCTGATTGTTACGTCTGTACAGCCGCTTGTGACTGTAGACGATTTATTAAAGGACAGGAAACGTGAACAAGTTCAAAAGCGTAGCCCAGGCGTTGGAGTCACTCCTGGCCAGCGTTCGACGCCAGGCTCGCGCTCGTGCCACAGCGCCAGTGCCCCGCGCGCACTTCGTTAATGTCGTCTTCTAAGGCGACATGTCACTCTTCATCCCTTAGACGAAGTCTCCATAGCGGTCTGGAGGTCGCCTAACCTCTGGTGGTCGCAGTTGCCGAGTGGCCACTGCCTGTGACGTCGACGGTTGCGAGGGAGTGTGCTCTTGCATCTCGGGCGATTCAGGCGGTTGAGCAGCTGAGCTCGATGGCGTCTCTTCTGGCGTTGCGTCCAAGAGATCGTCAGCTGCGCTCCAATCTGTCCGCGATTGGGTTGTTTGTCTGGTCTGACTCGTTTTCCTCATGTGATTGAGGTGACGCCGAACCTTTCCTTGGTCGCTTTTTACAAGCCAGGATCGTGGTCCGACGCGGCGCAGTATTTCGCCTTCAATCCAATCTGGCTTTTTCAAAAACTGCCGGATAAGCACTCTATCCCCTATAGCGAAGCGGCGTGATTTTTGCAATGCCTCCTGGCTCTCAGGACTTCGCTTATCCGTCTCCCGCTTAAGAAGATCGAGAGGGCAGAGCAATTCTCGTCCGAACATCGCTCTCGCCGGTGTCATACCTGTGGTAGTGTGTATTGTCGTGTGCTGCCGATACAGAAATCTTGCAAGTCGGCACTGTATGGACTTGTCTGCATCTTTCAACAGCGCTCTTTTCAGCTCCGCCACATAGCGTTCTGCCTGGCCGTTTGTTGCCGGATGATATGCTGGTGAGGTTGCAGCCTGTATGCCGTTCGACGCATAGAACTGCTTGATCTCGTTGGAGATGAATGCTTTTCCGTTGTCGGAGATGACCTTTCGGGGAATGCCGAACGTTGCAAAGAGGCTTCGGAGCACGTCGATTACAGCCGCGGATGTTGCTTGTGTCACGTGCCGGACTTCCACCCACTTTGTGTATGCGTCCACAACAACTAAGTAGGTGCGTCCGAGTAGTGGCCCCGCGAAGTCAACGTGCACCGTGTTCCATGCTGTCTGGGGACGGTCCCACGTAGGAATAGGAGCTTTGGGTGGGCTCTTTTGCGTTGCTTGGCATTCACGGCACTGTCGCACCGTTTCCTCGATCACCTTGTCCATTCCGGGCCACCATACGTAGCTCCTTGCGCACTTCTTCATGGCTACCATGCCTCTGTGACCCGCATGCAGAAGTGCCAGAACACGGGATCGTGCTGAGCTCGGTATGATCACTCGGGATCCAAGTGTGATGCACTCGCGCTGTAGTGCTAGTGCGGTCGCTCGTCGTCGGTAAGGAGCAAACTCATCTCCAGTGAGTTTCTCCACTGTACCATCCTGCACTGCCTTGTACAACCTCTGCATGATGCTGTCTTGTTGTGTCAGGCGTGCTATCTCGGCAGCAGTCAACGGAGGTCTCGATAACGCTTCGAACAATAGTACGTCACCTGGAGGCCAGGGTTCATCGAGACGTTCTTGTAATGGCAAACGGCTCAACGCATCCGCGTTTTGATGGTTCTTGCCACGCCTGTAGATTATGCTGTAGTCATACGCCGATAACTTGATGCACCATCTGGTCATCCGTGGAGAAAGGACTTGAGCCGTTGGCTTTTGTGGACCCAGTATGCCGAGCAGTGGTTGGTGGTCAGTGACGAAAGTCACCTTTCTTCCCGCAATATACTTGTGGAACTTGTGGGCTGCAAACACCACAGCAAGGCCTTCTCTGTCCAATTGAGCATATTTGCGTTCTGCCGGCCCTAGCGTCCGAGATGCAAAAGCGATTGGCGCCTCTCTATTCTGGTCATCACGTTGAGACAGAACAGCTCCTATGCCATATGGTGAAGCATCACAAGAGACAAGAAGCTCCTTCTGTTCGTCGTAGTGTGCCAGTACGGTCTGACTGAGCAGCAATGCCTTAAGCTTGTCAAAGGCTTCTTGATGCTTTGTCTCCCATCTCCACGTGGCGTCCTTCTGAAGAAGCTGGTATAGGCAGCTGGCAACTGTTGCCCTGTTCTTCAAGAATCTGTCGTAGAAAGCCAGCATTCCGAGAAATGATTGAAGCGCTTGTTTGCAGTTTGGTGCTGGAGCGTCCGTTATGGCTCGAACTTTCTCTTCGTTTGTGTGGACGCCTGTCTCGTCGATTCGGTGTCCCAGAAAGAAAACTTGTCGCACCGCAAAGCAGCACTTGTTTTTTCCGAGGCGCAGATTGTAGTTTCGTAGCCTCTTCAGCACTTCTTCCAGTCTCTCGGCGTGTTCCGTGGCGTCTTTCCCACTGATGATCACGTCATCTAGGTATGCGCACACGCCTGTGATGCCTGACAGCATTGTCTCCATAAAACGTTGAAAAATGGCTGGGGCTGCAGAAATTCCGAAAGGCAATCTCTTGACCCTGTATAGTCCCTTCAGCGTGTTCAGGGTCAATATCTCTGCTGTCTCTGGCGTCACGTGAAGT